GGGGGGGGGGCTGGTTGGAAGCGGAGAGAGAAACATGAACCCCTTTAACTTCGTTTTAAAAATTTCCAACACTTTCCCCTCTACTACCATGCATGGGGTTTTCAGTAGTGTGTTTAACCATGGTGACTTGTAAATATACATGTAAACTTTTTAAAAAGAAACCGCTCAAAGAATTCCTACGGTCAGCTGCGAACTAGAAAAGAACTATGCAATTTTAATGATATTGCTGTCCATGATTCAATTCACGATAAAAAGCCAAGTCGAGCGATAATTCATGTTTAACGCTAATACGTGTACCTATTAGTGTTGATACACTGTTAGGCTCAAAGTCAAAACTGCCAGGGCATAGCTGTGGAGAAACAGGGTAGGACGCAGCACGAGTTGTGACAATTGCATTGGGACATATATTTGTGGGCAGAGGGGGCTGTATGCATCCTTTACCGGCTGATAGTTTCAGCAAATATAAAACTAATGTTATTCCAAAAAAGTATGCATTTTAACAACACATATATCACATCTAACTAACACATCTTGTCTAGATACTGCTGAAGATGAATCAAAATAGATTCGAAATATACAGTTCTTTAAATAAATGTGTTGTTAAAATGCATACATTTTTCGGAATAACATTAGTTTTATATCTGTATGCATCCTTCCAGCAGAAAATGAAAGACCTTCAGCTCTCATTTTAATTATTCATCACCCTCCTCCATCGTGCCATGCTCATCTCCCTTCTCCCAGTGATCCAACCAATGTCTGTTCCTTCCTGACAGCAATCTCTCCTCAGTAAAAACTTCTTAACTTGCTTACATCGTGTTTCCCCCTGTAGAATCCATCGTTGACAAGTGAAAGTAAAATGGATAATCTGCCAGACACATGCTATCTTTTGTTAGACATCATTCTCAAGTCAAAACAGTTGATACGGTGAGTTTCTCTCGTGTATTTATTAATTATGCATGGAATGCGAAACATTGAGGTGTTTTAAATAAAGAAACGAAATATGACTGTTAAAGTTTTATCGGCAAGCGACGTACATACAGTATTTAATGAATTCGATTTCTAATTGTTAAAATCTTGAATATGGGGTTTCAGTCTATAGGTAGCAATAAGCAATTTTATTATATTAACACTGAGTTTTCCCAATGATTTACTCATGTGAAAACTCGTTCTACAATCTGCATTAGCCAGTCAGAAAAGCGAAGCAATTTTCGCGCAATTTTCGTTTCATCCAATCAAATGATACAACGCTGACGTATCAAAAATTCACTCACGGCCGGAATTTTCCCGCCCTTCGGTTTTGTCAGGCGACGTGGGCACTCCTCGATAAATATTCTAATAATAATTTCACTTTGTTCTGGTTCTTAACGCAAAGTTTAACTTCATCTTAGCACTTTATATCGGTTTTAATCGTTGTTTGAATAAATCGTATACTTGCTGCGCAAGATTGTACGTCGTATGTCAACGTTATTTTATTGAAATTGTCCAAGCATGCATGACTTTTGAATTTTTATCGTTACCTAAAGTATATAGCTATTTTGACACAGACAAACATATCAAAATTCAGCAGGTAGATCGCCTGATATAACATCTATGACTTCAATGCAAGAAACAATACAGTGTCTATCACAGAACAAATTTGTTCATTGGAAGCTTTTGTATTGTATTTTCGCACTTGTTAATTTGTTTTCACATTTCTCGCTCGCTCATTGCATTCGCTCGTTCGCTTTGTTACCATACGTCTGAAGCGTATCATGAAACCATGCAGAAATCTCTACAGGTGCATAAAGAAAACCGCACGGTTCGAAAATGTCCGCTAAACTGCAAATTCCGCAGATTATTAAAATTGCAAATGGAAACTATGGAAAGAAAGTCCAAGTTTTGGAGGTCGCGCGTTGGACTTAATGTACATCAGATTGTCTGGCACTTTGTTAATTCATAAAACACCTTCTAAATTTGCACCCTATGAATTTAAATTGTGTTTTTAGCCTTCCATCTCTGCGCGCAAGCCAGTTGTAGAATGGTTTTTAAAAACAACCCTCTTGCACTCTAAAATTTACTTTTCAAAATAATTTTAGTCGTGAAAATAATAGGCAGACCCCAAATTACCCATACATACATAAATGTTTCACAAATTTTGCGGAATTTGCACTTTAGCGGACATTTTCAAACTATATACACCCTGTGTGGACTTACACGATCAAACTCCCCGAAACAAGGACGTTTTGAGCGAAGATCTGTTGTCGAACTAACTTCCAGAAGATATAATTTCCCCTCATGTATATATTTAATATCATTTGCTTGTTCTGAAGGGTTTGGATTGAAGCGATAACAAAATGTATTAAAGATGGATTTTTTAAAGAAATGGAGTACGAAGCAGCGGCATATATATTGTGCGTTGTCATCGACAGTAAGTTATTCATTTTTGAAACATATCTAAGGTAGACAGTAATATAACCACTCAGCACAGCATTTAACTATAAGGCATTCGCCCATTCATGAAAATGACATACAGGCATGTATTAGCAGAAAGGTTAAGATTGTCGGGCCAAAAATATTATTTTTAAATTGTATTGTTAAAATTCGTCTGTGGAAACCAAATTGCCCACAAATACGCATGGGAGCTTTGGGGACGGTGGTACCGTAGTAAACCTGTTCCTTATAGTATACGTATTAAATTGAAGCAATGTTAGCTGCTATGTACAAAAACACCTTTAGATTACAACATATTATAGTAATATTTTATGCTGTTTAATTATATGGTTTTAACATAATATATTTGTTTTTCAAATGCATACTTTAAGTTAAGGTGGCTCCCTACAGTTTTCTAAAATTTTAAGTATAAAATACTAACCCTCGTTTTCAACCAAAGTTATATTGAATGCAGTTAAGACAGGGCAATATGATCATTTCCTGGAAAGTTCATCGTAGTGCTGCCATGGCAACCACGATGTTTATCTTTTGCACTTTTATTGTCTAATTTCACAATAAAACGACAATATCTTCTTTTTCTTCCTTCAATCAATTTTTCTGATTTTTTTTCAAAGATTTAAGCCCTGGGCAAACTAGGAAACATTGTTGCGGAAACATTTGTAATTATCGGTGTTTCCTAAACAACACGTGTGGTTTGCACTTGACTTTTTTAGTATATAATATTCACTTTGAGATTTTGGCTTACATATAATATATATATATATATATATATATATATATATATATATATATATATATATATATATATATATATATATATATATATATATATATATATATATATATATATATATATATATATATGTATATATATATATATATATATATATATGTATATATATATGGAAACTGTACAAAATACTCTATCCAAATACCGCAACATATCCGAGTAAAAAAATTAAAACAAAAAATTGGATATAATGTATATCTTTAATTTTGCTGAACAAAACAAATAACGATTAAAACATTGCTCAAGAAGTTCTTGAACTACTTGGACGTAGATAATTAGACTAGAAAAGACGAGTAATTATAATGAAGAGATGACCATATGATAACATTAAAATGTGCATTGCAAGATGCGTCATGTAATTTTATGCCAAATATTTTATTTCGACATAACCATGGCCACTACCACGAAATCCTTCAATTTTCAGTTGATTCTTCCCACTATTGAAAGATCCGCCTCCTCCTCCGCAAGAATGATATTCATTATCACCGGATGCTCCTCCAGAATATCCTCCTCCACCTCCGGCGCCTCCTCCACCTCCGTACGCACCTCCACCTCCCCCAAATCCTCCGACAGCATTATGTCGCCTCGCGCGACCACCTGCTCCACCTTGAACAAATCCTCTTCCTCCTTCTCCTCCATATCCATAAGCTCCACCAAACTGTTTGCTACTGCGTCCATTGTTGTAGAATCCACCACCACCACCACCTATAAGTATGTAGCGTTATAATAAAAATATTTTTGGTGTGTGAGTTTCAATGAAAATTTTCATTCATAATAAATGCATACAATTTTCTAATAATATTCTAATTGGTTTTCTAAACAGAACCTCGATTTATTTTATCGGCAAAGCATTAGGTTCAATTGTATTAATATGTAATAAAACAAGATTTCAATAATGCCATTTTTAACTGCCCTCAGAAGCAACAATGTTCCACCAAATATAGCTCTGTAGATTTTCAATCGTTCATACACATAGCTTGTTGGTGATCGGGTTGCATCCTCTTCAGAAATTTTTTAAAATCTACACTCTCTAAACTGGCATTTTCGCATTAAAATCATCGTATATACAGTACGTTCAACTTGCATCCTGTAGATGGGCCTTTGAAGCTTTAATATTTTGGAGCTATGTTATCAAAAAAACGCACACAGACTCAACCATCCAAAAATACTTTTTCTACCATGCATATTAGATATGTATAGATAACTTATAAACTTGTACATAATTATCTTAAGCCCAGATTTTCTCAGGGGGGGCAACAATTTTGGCAGGGAACACCACTGGCTATCGTATGTCAGAGGCTCCAAAGGTGGTAGAATCCCTGTGATGTTATCCACTGTTCACCCCGTGCTCTTTTAAGCAAATGTGCCTGCTCAAAAATGCAAAATCTTGCAAGCCTGTGGACACAATACTGAAGTGAAGAACGTCAGTAGATTTACATGTAGGAATTTTTTTTTTGAGCGCTTTTCTTTTGCATGATATTTTTTCCTCGATTGTATGCTGCATGATTTTTTTTTTCTTTCTCCTTGGATTGCAGGAATTTTTTTTTCGAAATCTTCCAACCCCCCCCCCTTATACTTGTAAGTGACAATGTACTTTAATGTGCTACTTGTAGTTTAATTTTTACAGCTGCATGAACAGAATGACAATGTACACTACAGTAATAGTAATTATTTTATGAGTCCGAAATCATTAATCAAATGATGTTATATTTATGTACGTAATGAACTTCACTTCACCACTTCTTCTTTCTTTTGCTATGTTTGGTATTATGTATTATAATTTATCTTATTGATCTTCCAAAATAAGTGATGTTTTGCTTGAATTCAGGGCTTGAATTTTATCGCGGCAATTGCCGTAGAGGGAGAACAAAATACCGTGGATCATTGCGGCAACGACGGCAATTTTTTGCCGTATAGTATAATTTTTAAACTGTTCACTGTGCATTACTATTTTGATACTTGAATTCAGATGTTGATCAAATCATCCGTAAATTACTATTTTAGTCTCAGTTTTCTTCGAAAAAAACCCACTAAAGAAATACGTAAACATGTTTCTAGCTTGTCAGCAATCCAAAGTCTGTAACAATAAAATTAAATTTTTATTACAGCAATTTGAAAAAAAAATGCCGTGGAAACTGACAAAATTGCCGTAGCAGCTGTTACGTTCTACGGCAATTTTTAACGCCATTGCCGTCAATTGATTTTCAGGGAAATTCGAGGCTAACTTGAATCCCAATTGGAACATAACAAACATCGTGTTGGTTCGCTTGTACTTTTGTATATAAAATTTTTCCTGTGACCAGACGAAAAGTAGCCGGCGGTAAAAGTTCAAGTAGCCGGCGGAACTCCGCCGGCCGCCGGCTTATTCTGAAACCC